TTGACAGATTGTTTGACTGTGGAACTGTTCGGAATGGGTTAACAGCCATTAGACATAATGCAATGGGGCGCTGTTCGCTGTGCCATTGCATCATGTCCAATAGACGTTTAGCCATAAATATTGTAGAGGCATTAGGATTTTTTTATGTTGGAGAAGTGAAAAAAAGAGCAACGCCTTCACCGGGATTTGTACCACGGGTCTCTCGAATACGTGCCGAGCGTGCTGACCACTGCGCTACGAAGGCATGCTAAGAAGGGGGGAGAAATACCTTATAATATCATTCCTGCGATACCACAATTTACTTTTATTGAATGCTCCTGAACGTTTCCCTCTCCCTTAATTGAAATATTAATTTTACTCCTGAAGGGCATTCATTCCAGCAATGTGGATGATATCCAAAAAGCCTCTGTTGTAAAACTGAAGGAAATACTGATGATTTCCAATAATATTGCAAGAGTTGGAGCTGCATCTCCGAAAGTGCATAATCCCGCATAGAAATGATTTTGAAATCATTAATGTTGATTTTACAACTAGCCCATTAGCTTCATTAGTAGCTCTTGTATATAGCGGCAATATTTCCTAAAATCACATTCTTGTAGAGCTAATCTGAAATGATATGCATGATTTATATGCATAGTGCTTTACTCGCTGATCCAAAATATTGCTCTTAACTTAGCATTATTATTAGATACCAGAAGAAAAGTAGATGGATATCCGAACGCTCTTTCGCTAATACAAGAGGCAATAAATTTCTGCTTGGTATTCTAATCGAGTTATCGACTGAAGACTGTAATCTAACTATATGAGCAGCATTCTGGGAGATGTTACCAGCGATTCAAAATGTCAGCAATTATCTGTGGATTTTATATGTCCTTTTGCCTCTTTTGAGACTTTTTCAACAATATTCTCATCAGTTTTCTACCATAAATAATATTAACTAGATGATGCTATAAGCAAGCCTTTTTTTCCATTCTAAGACGTAGTAATGTATTGTTTTATTTACGTAAGAGAACTGTTGATCTACTTTTTTAAATCATTGGGAAAAACTTTCTTTAATTTTAGAAAAATGTATAATCATCAGCAAACAGTAGAGAAAATTGTAATAATGATAACAACAAAGTAAACCGAATTTTGAGACTGGTCAAAGATTGTACTGATAACAGCATTTAAAGGTTGTAACGAACTGTTTAAATATTTCAATTGTCATAGTAACCAAGTGTAGTTAGGTGTTCCTATACTTCTTTGATTTAAATATTTCAAGAGTAATAAATTACCTATAAACATCATGTATTGTTTTTGTATCAAACAGAATACTAAAATTTTGAAATAAAAGACAGATTGTTTAAATATTATTTCATATAGTTGTCATTCCATTCGTCGTCTATATGAGCCATTATAATTAAATAAAAAGTCAGCAATACTACATTGAATCATAACCTTTCCCTTGCATGAGCTGTTGTTGTTGTTGTCTTGTCCATATTGCATGGAAAAATGGTTGCCAGAGCCGTGACCTTCGAGAGGGGAAATAATGACTGAATGCTGATTTTGGCATTTTTGAAAATGTGTTTCATATTTCTTTGATATAAGTTTTCTAAATATGCAATAACTATGGATATTAAAAACTAATGTGGACAGTTTCTTAAGACCACCTCTACTCAACATATCTAAATATGTGCACTTATCTTTGGTTTCTGTTGTTTGAGATAATGGAAGATTATCATAATCTCCCCCTTCAATCACGATATTATCTAAACTTAACATCTTTTCTTTGCAGATTACACACTGTAGTTTCAAAGAATGTACACAATAACCAGCTATATATATTAAAGCTTGCTGTTCATTCATTGATACATTTAACTCCACAGCCGTTAAATGTGCATGGATATGCAGCCTCTTTTATCATTGGACATTTGCTTGGAATCCTTAAAATCGCCCCATTTTTATCCATGAACACATCTTCACGCACAATCATATCTTCGCGAAAATGTTTTTCACAAATAAAACTTTGTTTAGATGGTATGAAATTCGCGCGAGGAATCTTACGGCACCAAAGCTGCTTTTTTGCTTCATCCGTTGGCAATTTGTACACACTCACGTAATTTTCAGTTCCAGTATAATTAGAATTTCACTTAGGTCAATTTTTTCACAATGGTTTTTCACAATGGTGAATTTCACAATGGTCAGGCATTGCTACAATATTAACAAAGTTAGCACTAAACAACAAACTATATTGACAAATTTAGAGCTTTACAAGAACGTACACACGCCTCGTGGTAGTTACAAAACTAATGGTGGTAAAACGATGGACAGAAAGCATGACTCATCTCTGACTTGTTCGACGAGTGTCATGGCCTTCTCCCTCTCGAAGGTCACGCCAGAGCCTCCTCCGAAGAGAGATTGGACTTCTATTTTCCACCCCCAATTTTGAGGAAGAGCACTCGGGGGGATCCGAGGGTCTTCTATCCCTCTCCACTCCCGCCAATCCACACGAGAGAACTTTCGACTCGCCGTATATTTAGAGTGCCGCCATGCCGCACCGACACTATGCATTTACAGACATCCAAGTCTTCTCCTGCATTCGAGACCGGGCCCTTCGATACTGTAGTAGGCTTCCCTAACCACTATACCGTTCGGGCAACCTTCTATGAATTGATGCTTTTAAATTAAATACCCGGATAAATCCACGTGGAATCTAAATCATTCTACTGTGACTACTTGTAATCTGTTTCCTCAGTATCCCTCTAAAATTCTCCATGCTGTCTTTTTTAATTTTCAGGAGAATTTTTGCTGCTGTCATCAATGATGCAATTCAGCCAAAAGAACTTAGCTTTTGCAAGTTGCTTCAAGAAAGTATGAATACACGTAAATGAAATACGAGAGATATTTTAATTTCAGTTTGCAAGATTTTTAAAATTATCAAACTACATAAACAAAACCTTTGGATACTTAGGTTAATGAAAAATGTATGAACGGAGTTATATTGCATTTTGTAATTAACATGGGTGAAAAAGAATTATTATTTTTTTAATTTTTGTCATATTAGCCGCTTTTGCGGCTTTCCTTCGATCTGGCATAAGTAACTGGCAAAAGTAGAGTCCTAGAAAAAAAATAATTAATTAAATAAAAAGTTAATGAAACCTTTTGCAGCAAATTATAAGCAACAAAATTGGAAATCAAACAGATGGCAAAAAAAGTTGCTAAAAACAAAAGGTTTAATTTATTATTAATCAGATACCATGGTTAAAACGTAAAAAAAATTTTTCTTGTTTTAAAAAGAAAGAAACAGTTAATAAATATATGATAAATATGTGTGGATGCAGAAAAATTTGAAAATACAGAATATAGTGGAACCATGGCATGAAAATTCGTATATAAACAGAGTATAGTGCTGCTTAATCTTTAGCACCCAAAAATTTCAGCAGCAACGAATTTTTCGAGGGTTTCAATCTTTCTGTATGAATGACATCATATGCAAATTCTTCTGCCAATGCTGCAAGGCTGGCATTCTGCCAAAATAAAGAAATTACTAAAAGAGATCTGAAGTGACTTTATAATTAAAAAGTTATAAAAAATTCTTTTTTTTAATGCAGAGGTGGAATATTCTGCATTTAAAAAAGAAATCTTCCTGCTTTACAGTAATATAAAATCTGGAAGAGTGCGATGACAAAACACCGCCCTTAAGAGCAGAAAGTGTCAAAAGCTCGTTAAATTATTTCAAAGTACATGTATTAATATTAGGTGGCTATAAGAGTCACTGTCTTTCCACAATGTGACGAACTCAGGATTTTTTATTTTACAATAATAGAAATTTCATTAAATAGAAAATTTAAAGAACATTTTCGTAAAAAGATTACAGGCGTTTTAATGGACCTTTGAAAATATTTATGCAACGAGTATCTATACTTGCTTCGCGTAAAATTATGGAACATTTTATTAATTAAAATGCATGGAACAGTTTATGGAATCACATTAAATATGCTACATTAACAAAGTCACTTAATGTGTTCTTATATTACAATCATTAACCGTTATTATAATTTCAGCATACATCAGTAATACATCGATAAAGCTCTTGTACTATAAGAAAATGTTAAAGAAATGCAATATATATAACTTTGTGAACCATTTATGGTGTTTCTTATTTTTACACATTTCTACAGATGTATTAAAATAACGAATACTCTACCTCTAAAAATGTATTAAAATATGTATTCCTTTATTATTCACACCATAATTCCTGTATTATCTTTACTTAAATTCTTTGTCAAGAATAGTAAAGAGAATCTTTTCAGCGCATGATACAGATTTTAATATTATAAATAAAATGTGCTTTTTATTAAAATATGCATTCTCCTTTTAAAATCAATTTTTTTTTAACTAACAAACAAATCAATAAATAAATACAATTCATTTCAGGGAAATAATGTAACCTGTAAATTAATATTGCCACTACAATGTCCACTTGCGCAAAAAATTCCGACATTTTTTATATTATTACTTGAGAATTAAGAATAGTAAATTTAAGAAACATTGTGAAACGCAGATGAAATTTTGCTTATATCTAGATTCGAGGAAAAATGTTTCGTTACAAAAATACCTTGAAATGCACCTAGATTAAACAAGAAAAAAAGCGGATGAAAAAAGTTATATTTTAATATTTTTATTTCTGATATAATTAACTTTTTTGTTCTTATTATAGTTATGGTAAAAATAAAAACTTTAAATTAAAATTTTTAGACTGATTTCAAAGATAATCTATTTTTAAAAAGCCATAATCTTATGCTCCTGTTCTGAATTAACTATATTCAATAATCTTCCTACATAAGATGACTTAAATACGATGCATTTAATAAAAGGTTAAAATGTAACCGACGAGAATAAAACTAAAGATGCCGCCAACGCTCCGACCGGAGAAAAGGTCTGGCAACCCTTCGCTGCACGAGCGTACAGGTAGAAGCGAAAAACTGGGTTCGCGTCCTAACCAAGCAAGACAACAACAGGTTACAGCGTCTATATACCAGTTTTGTTGTAGACACCGCTGACAACGGTCTGTTCACATAAACGCAGCGCAGAGCTCTGAAGCGCTGTATTCCCTTCCCTGCTCACTGTCACTTGGATTTATTATCAGTTGACGACTGACTGCGGCTGCGCGGTAACTTATCAGTCTGGGACCGGGAGTTTGAATAAAAGCTACTTGAAAATGTGTTTCTGATGGATAACCTCTGGGAAAAATCCAATCTCTGTGTTTTCACTATTCAGCGTTAGATACGGAGCGGCATTTTCCTCCTGGTTGTTTTGGTGCTACTCGCTCGACGACTACGCTTTGTAAGTGAATACCCTTTTATGTGTGGATCTTCGTTTCGCGCCTACAGTTAAAAAAACATCTGCGGTGCAAAAATGATTTGACAAAGGACTTAACAGTTTTTTGCGGAACTTTCGTAGTAGGAATCGGGTTTCGTTAATCAAAGAAACGAACTTACAAATTATTCTGTGTAATTTGTAATTTATTTTAGTTGTGGAGTGGTGCATTCTGAATCACTCACAGAAAGTATACTACTTCAACGAACTGTACCTTCTAGTAAACACTCAACAATCCAGTAGGAAATAAGCAACTGAGACTGTTTGACTTCTGCTGTCTATAAATAGATCGACTATTGTTGAAGAAACCATGTCGCTGGCCAACCCATTCACAGCATCGAATATGAAGCACAAATGGAGTAAACTGTGGAACAAGCGATCTGTGACGATTACGGAATACGATCCTACATACAAAGTAACTTATTTGGGTAATGTGATCACGCAGTGGGCCAAAGGCGACGGTTGTGTTGATAAGCCTTTGGCTACGCTTTGGAAGAACTACTGTTCGAACGTTAAACACGAAATTACAATGAAATTGACGATTAGCAATTCAGGACTAAAAGCTACGACAAAAGAGCATGGACTGACAGAATATTGGGCAAACAGAATAACGTTTTGTTCTGCCCCACCACAGTACCCCAAAGTATTTTGTTGGGTATACCGCCATGAGGGTCGGAGAATGAAGCAGGAACTGAGATGTCATGCAGTTCTGTGTGATAAGGAGGACAAAGCAAAAACCATGGCTGCCCAACTCAATCAGAGGTTAACGCAAGCTCTTCAAGAATTCAGGAGAGAAAAGCTCAGCAGGCAGAAAGCCAGATTGTCACTAGCCAATTCCTGTTATGACAATCCGACAATACCACGTAGAAAACTGTTACTAAGTACTGGATCCACTAACTTCCGGCCACCATTAGAAAGATCTAAAAGTGCTCCTAAATTGACAGCTATTGACGAAATCGAAGAAGAAGATGAAGAGGATCAGGAGTCTTGTGGACACATTGTGGATGACGATGACTTCGATGACGAATTTCTAACAGGTTCAGTGATTTCTGAAATTGAATCTAGCTCTGATATCGTTCCTGATGATGTAGACTCATTATCTGACCATTATTTGACCAATGGCCAGGAGACAGACTCTTTTGATTCCGATTCTGTAGATGATATACCAAATCCTAGACTTCGGAAAACTTCCCTCAAACTTATCGATGAGACTGTCGATGAAGAAGATAATGTATCGGACGAATCGGGTTATTCAGAAGAAAAATTTTCGTTCAAAGATGATAGTATAGCATCTTATAAAATGTGACGAAGGGCTAATTAATACATTATACTTCATATTTTGTGCAAGGTATGATGCTATCAGCAGTTCACATGTTGCGATGTGATCTGAAAGAACTCAATAATACATTTCGGTGCTAAACAAAGTAAATATTTTCTACCCACTTTTTCTTACTGATTATATTTTAATTACTTATTTTCCTTTTAATCTTAACATTGTTTTTTGTTAAATTGTTTATTTGAACTTAACTTTAATTTATAGACATGAATTTTAATAAATTTATTTATATTAGAATTTTAAGCTGAAATTTAATTACATTTGATGATATTCATATTAACAAAAAATGTAAAACAATTATAAAAATAAGACATACAATGATATTTTCAACAATAAACTTATAAATTATTTAAGAATTAAATTTGGTTAGTAATTGTTCATATTTTTACAATCAATATTTTTTTTTAATTTGCCTCTTTGGGAAATGTAATTTCAATATTTTACATTCATTAAACAGAATCTTAATGCGAATTTTCACTTTAACATTATAATATACTTACACAGACCCTTCTCTTTCTTGTATGTATGCTTACTGGAAATTAGTTTTCATTGAACGTAATAGTGTTTAGCACCATATAAGGCAGAAGTGTGTTTGAATTTTCATTACTTGTGATTATATCAAGTATTAGTGAAACTGTTTTTTGATTTTTGCAGGAAATTTATCCTCTAAAATGTATTCCTCCCTTCCTGATTTGCTAATGAAATGTGTCATTAATTTTTTTCACAGTTGAATTTTTTAAATTGGTTTAGTAGCGATATTTCGTTTTTCATATTTTAGATTTACTGTAAATTTCTTGCTTAAAACAAAATATAGTTTTTCACTTTTATTAGCTTTTCTTCAGGTACAAACAACTTAGAGCAAAATTTTTTGCTGACTTCAGAGTTTGAAATCAGTCATCTAGTGCCATAAAATATGTTTTATGTTTGTAAATTGATGTGCGTGAATTACAGAATGCTAATAAAAAATTAAAACTAATCTAAAAATATGATAAATATCTCTTATCTAACAAATATTGCATAGAAAAACTCATGGCATTTCATGTTCGAAATATATTATTTAATTTATAAAAAAAAAATTAATTATAAATGATGCAAATATTCTAAAATTCTGTCAAAATTTTAAAATATTTACAACTAATTAATAATGGAATATTCTTTTGTAATCATGGATTATTAAGTAATTATTTCTGATGTAATATTTGATTTACTCTATGAAAAATGCCATATATATATAGTTAGTAACTTTTATACATTAATAGAATTATTGCAGATTTAGAAAAATATTTATAAGGAATGTTGGCTTTATTTTTAATAGGAGCCAAAAACAATCTATAATTAACTGCTATTTATTTTCGAATGACTTCTAAGTTTTGCTTATTTATTCTTTCATCCTTGCCGAGTGACTTTAATAAAAAAAAATTTATAAATTCTTTCAGTTATTTTGAAGCATATTATTTATTGCAATTCTTGTAGAACTTTAGAAAACTAAAGCATTTAATTTGCATTCCATTCATATTCATGTATGTGTATATATGACAAATTGTTACCTCATATCAATCATATATTTTATTGTCATTACTTTGTATATTTTCATACTCACCAAAGATCATTTAATAAAATGTATAGTTTTTTTATATTCATAATTGGTATTGATTCTTATGTCTTATGGTTTAAAAACTAATAATATTATGGCATAACATAATTTAAAACTATTTAATCATTGAAAATAAAGAGTTGCTGGGCAACATTTAAAAAATATTTGGAAAAAAAAAATTAGGAAAAAAATGTAAAGAGATTCAAAGTTATGAATTTTTATTACCGTTTAGGTACTATTTTTAACTGAATTATAAATGACATTCTTTTAAGCGTATTCCAAGCTATTATTTGTTAATGTATAAAACAATACAGATTTTTCTGCCACAACAATATTAATTTTATCATAATGGTTTTTACTGAGTGTTCTCATAGGCTTCGTTGAGTACAAAATGAGTTCAGTCATTTTATATGTTATATGGCAAAACACCTGTTTAATCGAACATTTTATCAAAAATATTCAAAATTTTACTGTATGAATGCCTCAGTAAAATGTCTTTATTCTTTGCTGAAATCGAATTTAATCATTTACATTTAAAAGCCACTTATTTCTATACTTTTTTAATTCATCATTAATTTTTTATGTTAAGCAAAACTTGATTTTAGACTGATGGTAATTTGTATTTCGAAAGACAATGTGACAAGACTCTTAACTTCTTTGAAGAGGCTCATGTCAAATCTTTTCTTGAAATACATAGCAATTTTAAAATCTAAAATTTTTTTAATTGTAATTTTTGAAATCAAAAGCAGTCTAAAAGTAAAACGTGTCTAATTTTTAAGCTTAAAATATATCCCTTTTTTTTTTAAAATTTATTTCCTATTACTATTTTGATATGTTTTAAAGAAACTTTTTATACGCATGTTTGTATATTTAACAGATTATAATGTTATTTAATGATTAAATACTTATTTTTTATCATTAGGGTTACAAATTTACAAGTTAGGAAAACGTTAATATTTCTATTCAACTGCCATACTTCTATTTAGGTGCTTGTATAATGATTTATTAAAGCTTTCCGTCTGTTTATCTTGTTTAGTTTAAGATTCAGATTTCATAAAAATTCTGTATTTAATGAGTATTTGCTGAATTTATTGCAGAACTGTGAGAAAACATAGTTAAACAAACTTTGAAAAAATAGGAAAAAATAATACTATAAATGTCCATGAACGCTATATATTTCATTGTGTGTTCAAAGATGATAGTATAGTTCAAAGATGATAGCATTGTTTAAATTTGAAAATTATTTTTGAGTTTTACATCAAAATCTAATCTGGCTTTGTGGAAAAAAAATATGCATTCAGAGACTAATATAAATAAGTAACAGTTTAATAAAATATTCTACCAGAGGCAGAGACGAATATAAATATATAACAATTTATTTAAAATGATAACAAATAATGAATAAATTAAATTCCTTTCATTCCCTTGGGAATGAATTTCAAAATCCTTTCGAATTTCGTAAAGGAATCGTTCAAAACCTGTTTCTTTTTTGCAACAGATGCCCAGCTGAAAGAACACCCGTTCATCATGCTGATTCATATTGGAACATATGTCACTCATTCAACAGCAATAATGATAGGAGGTTCGAAGGAATTGATAATTATTCCTTCAGTTATGTTCTCGAAGCATCTTTTTTGCATTCATTGAAATATTCATTTCATTGCCATCTGTTTTGCTGATAATGGACCACCAGCTATAATTATCATTGTACTGATATTTTAATCTCCAAATGATTTATGCCATGACTTAATTATTTGCCTCGATAAAAATTTGTCAGAAAGTGTAGTTAACTAAATAATAATTTATTAACTTTATAAATATTATATGGAAGATGAAGTTCATGATTGGCAGATTTTTACAAACATAAATTAAGCAATTATATAGCTCTAGAAAGAACATTCATCAAGTAGAGTCCTCTTTAGTCTGAATGCTTTTTGAACATTCAGACTGAAGTCTGAATAGTCGTTTTACTATTTTTTTAAATCTACTTTATATATTTCACTTAAATGAAAAATTTTGTGTAATTATTAAACAGAACCGAAAGATAAATGACCATTTCACGTTTATTTTCGATATCCGCTCATGAGTTTGCAATTTGTGGTAAGCTTTAGAATGAAACACTGATACTGGAATAAACACACAATAAATATGCATTGATATTAATACGGTATTGATACACTGGTTTTGAACATATAGTGTACGTGAAAAATCTAAATTTTATTATCAATCTATAATAAAAATATCCTTCACATCATTTCCTAATATTCATTTTTACTAATAGAAATGATGCTACTTGGAGCAGTGAACACCGAACTCAACTATTATTTAATTTATTTGCGATTTTACTAACCAGTCTTCCACAGGTGATACCAATATGTCTTTTTATCTCTTAAAAATGGGCTTTTTTCATTACAAGCAGGGGATATTGTATTATTTTCATTCAGTAAAATTATGCTAAAAATTATGAGGCAAACATATCTTGCATTAATTAAAGAAATCAGTAAATTTTCTCAACAGTTTTAATCTATGAAGAAGGCAGTAACTTCATTGTGGGGTGAATTTTCTTCCGGTTTGGGTGATTTTTGAAAATTTCAAGAATATCAGATTTTTTTCCCTACTTTTTTCATTTATAATTATAAAAATTATTTTAAGTAAAAATTTTAATAATTTTTCTATTACTCTTCGTCAGAACTGCCAAAAAAATATTTTGCTAAATTAATATTGTTTCGAAATCCAAGTGAAACTTTGAATAACCCTACATTTTGCACTTCTGGTAAACGAAAAAAATACTGTTTGCTCGAAGTTACATGAGATTGTCCTCCATTTCCCGACATACAATTTCGATGCGTAATAATCCTTTTTTGAAAACATGCTATATAATGCATGGAATCTGTTAAGTTCAACATGATGTATATTTAAATGGTAATCTTGATCTAAAGTTATGGTTTTGAATACGTTTCCAGAATAAGGTCGGTTTATAGGTGATTTATCCTTTCTCATTTCATCCTGTAATCAAAATCGGACTCTTCATCTGCTGCTATCCCCCCCCCCCATTTTCTCTCATCAGTAACCCCTATTGACGAAATCTTTACCGTTTCATCCTCTTTTCAAAGTCATTGCTGAGAGTATGACAAAAAGCATTACACAAAACGAGCATTACACGTTTGAGACAAAAAGCATTACACGAGTAACGAAGTAAATGCCCACTGGCTTTTTAAACTTAAGAATCTGGTAAAAACACTAGTTGCTAGGAGGTAATTTATATCAATGCAGAAGCGGGAAATGCGAGTCTGGTTTCTATCGTATGTCGTTTTTTAAAGTTTGGCTTTTGATATTTGCATGCATGTCTGTTTAAAAAAGTGGTCGTTAAGTTTATCGAAATATGAATTTATTATAATCCAGCCTAGTCAGCGCTGAAGGTAGAACTTACATCATTAAAACGAAATTTGCAAACTAAATTGTCGAAAGAAAAATATTAATATATACTAGAAATTAAAAACTAAGCCAAGTGAAAGCAGTAAAGCCCATCGCCTTAACCACTTAGATGATGAGAGTTGGTGTTCGCTGTCTCGAAAAGAGAAAATCCATCACCAAGTATTATTATACCACTAAACC